CCGAATCCAGGTTCTCTCGTTGACCACGGATGAAGGTTGATGTCCCGAGAAGAGGTTGCCTTGATCTTCCCGTGATGTTCGCAGGTCGTAGTGTGTGCGTTAGCCGAGGCTCATAACCTGTCAGAGATATTTCGCTGTGGACTAGCAGCAGTACGATGCTGCAGATGCTGGGAGGTTGTGTAGCCTACCTCAGAGGTTCACACTCTGTGCGTCTCCAACCGCGATAGACTTGGAATGGAAGCATGAAGATGCTTTTATTAGTTGCTGACTCCCAAGTCAGATGTTGCTGGTACTGAAGAGGAGTGAGAGGAGTGGGCGAGCTAAGGGCTGCACCACTCTTCTCGAATACCAGACAAATGAGCCAATCACACGAAAGATCCAGAATGCTTCCAGAATGGGCTTCCGGAATGATTTCTGGAAGCCCACCTACGTTCTAGAAGAGTATCAACTGCAACCTAGATCTAGAACGCTTCCAGAAGCTTACAGAAGGAACCAGAAGTTTCCAGAAGGCTTCCAGAAGCTACACACGTTCTACTTAGATGTCCCGGTCAACCTTGACCTGGTATACTTCCGGAATATTTCTAGAACAAGACAATACATGCCAACGAGAGATGGATTCTTTTCTACTGCTACGCAGACTAGTTGCTGCAATCGTATTCAAAGGTCAAACCGTGTCCGACTACTGGTGGTCTCGACGCACGATTTTCCCGACAGCATGCATACCCTTTCGAACGTCGTTCTGTGTATTGAATGTCCCCCCACAACGCATGCCCTCGCCCATGACCATTAGCGACATCGATCATGGAGACGACCCACAATACTCGCAATAAGCTACCCTTCCTTGTTCTGAGGAAACACAACTCAGCCGGAGGCAACAGCTATACGTAGCGGCAGCAGTGTTGTCCAAACGCACAGGTAGAAACGATCGTCTCTCCCGACAAAACAAAGCACCCCTCCCCCCCCTGGCCGCCCCAAATCCCACAACAAGCTCTTGTCAAGAAAAAGCATCATTCCCTGAGACGGAGCTAGTTGCGACAGCGGTGTCCTCCGAAAACAACGCAGAGACTGCAGAAATAGACCTATCTACGTTCCCAACAACATCGAAACAACTTTTTCCCCTCCCCCAAGAAAAGTCACAATTCGCACGGACAAAAACGGCGCGGACGAAGACAAGAGGCAGCAGCGACAGATTCCAAATGCCCTTGCAGACACAGTAAGTAAACACCTCGCTCTCATCCCGCGCCAGGCGCCCTCATGCACCAGCGAGAGCAACAAGCAAATCATTGCACCATATGATTTAAAAAGAAGCGTGAGACGTGGCGAGCGGGATATTTCTCCGCCTCCTCCGTCAAAGCTTGGACCCGTTGTGAACGTTATGAGGACCGGGTCCCGGAAAAACGCTTTGAACGATGTTGCAGCGGAGGTCCCGGCGACTCGACCTGGAGGTTACCGATCAGCAGTGAAACAATATTATTGAAGTGTGAGAGGAGGGCAATAGTGGGCCGTCGAGGAATGGAGGGCATGCTCTCCCCCTTTGCTGCAGTATAGTTCTTGGTATAGCTGACAAATGTACATCATCAACAATAATACTTGCAAGCAGGCATGGGGGGGGGGGG